TCTCTCTCTCTCTCTCTCTCTCTCTCTCTCTCTCTCTATATATATATATATATATATATATATTATATCTTGGCTGTCGTATTTATTACTATTTACTATTTCAGGGAAAAAGCAATGGGTATGCATACTTTTGATATATATATATTTATATATATATATCAAATACTATTCTAATCTGATGAGAGAACGTCTTTTGCATACCCATTGCTTTTTCCCTGAAATAGTAATAAATACGACAGCCAAGATATTACTGAAGTTGAGTATGTTTTACTTTGCATATTGATAGTTCTGTTATCTATATAGCTGAATGTCTCGGGCGAAATGTAACTGTCTCATGTTACTCTAGAAAGGCGTTTGGTTTAGCGAGATTCAGTTTCTCCCACGGATTAAATGACCATTCTCTTCAATATACTTTGTCGCCCATAAATTGTTCCATATATGACGTCTAGAGGCCATTAGTATTGGCAAGACAATAAGATAAGTAAACACAATTATTTGTGCATGTCTTCGTCCAAGAACGCGATGGCGGTAAGTAGCCTTCACTACACCTCATTGCCAGGAGAGCCAAGTCACAGAGCCAGCGGCTTAATCTGGTATTGACGTGTTTTGAAAACACGGGACTTGTTTTCGCAAACACGAGGTTGGCTTTGTCCACAACAATTACAAGAGGTGCTAAACGATATTTGCTGGCACTAGGTAAACGTTCTGTTAATGATATACCCATGGGTCTGTTTTAATGTAGTACTGAACATGAGCATCCTTTTCACTGTACAGAAAAACTTGCATAAATTATTACAATGTCAATTATAAACGTCACTGATTTAACTTTTAAAGTTTCCTCTGAGTGATAGAAATAAGTGCACATTACCTCACGCAACAGTGTCTAAACTGTCTAAAAATTTATCGATCGTTCTCAAGTTACACTCATCTTTACGTCGGGAACTTGTATTCATTACCCAACATTTTTTATTTATTGAAGGCATACTAAAGGAAATGCTAAAGTACAAATAAAAGCTATTTACCGTATTGTACTACAATGAAAGGTTAATAAAAACATGGAGGTCTGTTCACCTGTATTTATGTGGTAGGTTGAACAGTTTTTTATTACAGCTACGAAAGGTGAAGAACGACTCAAAGATTAGATCTCCATCAAATGCCAATGTTGTAGGAGAAAGACGTAAATCACTGGCTCGGAAAATTACTTTGTAAATGCCTCTCCAGATCGCTGAAGATGGGAGGTACTTGGTAATAAGCTTACTTCAAGAAAGCTACAATAAAATAAAATTAGCAAACGCAAATAGCAAAGCACTTTGTAATGGCTGCTACTGATAAGTTATCATAAATTAAGTTTAAGTACATTGTCATTAAGATTTAATATGGAATGCAAAGGCTAATGACCGCCATGTTTAAAAGAAGAAATGGCAGTACAGG